CAATTACGCATGAGCAGAATATTATTTGCAGCAAAACACATTTAGACGGTACTACGCATGAGCAGACCATCATTTGTAGGCAGTTATTTGCAGGTCACGTGGTCGGCTCTCGGCCAATGAACCGTTGTATCGTTGTACTGCAGGGATTACGAAAGACACCTACCAGTCATTAGTAAGACCCCATCTTGAATATGCGAGCAGTGTGTGGGATCCACTTACTCGAAAGCAAATCACTGGCATGGAACGTGTGCAACGATAATTCGCTCGTTTTGTTAAACGTTGATATGATTGATCACCGGGGTCTGTAGCCCGTCTCCTGAACGAACTAGAGTAGACCTCATTGGAACCGCGTCGAAAGGAAGCTTTTAAATATCGGGAAACCTTCGGATGGCTTCTAATACGTCTGATTAGGCCCGATGCAAACACACGCCACAAACAACTACATTTCAACATGGCGGCCATACAAGAACAGGGTCCGCCCCTTTATTAAGCATGCGTAACAAAACCGCTGACCAATACATGACAGAAGCCAGATTCACCATGAGCTGTCAATGGCAAGATAAACCCAAGGAAAGAATAACTAGACAGTTCTATCCCATAAAATTCACACATTTAACCCGTGCGAGCAATACTACAAATCCAATTTTTATGCAAGAACTATACCTGAGTGGAACTTTGTCAAGATACTCTTTTCCCTCTTTTGTCGACTTTCCCTGCTGNGAATATTATTTGCAGCAAAACACATTTAGACGGTACTACGCATGAGCAGACCATTGTTTGTAGGCAGTTACTTGCAGGTCACGTGGTTGGCTCTCGGCCAATGAACCGTTGTGTCGTTGTACTCTAGGGATTAAGAAAGACACCTGTCAGTCATTAGTAAGACCCCATCTTGAATATGCGAGCAGTGTGTGGGATCCACTTACTCGAAAGTAAATCACTGGCATGGAACGTGTGCAAAGATGATTCGCTCGTTTTGTTAAACGTTGATATCATTGATCACTGGGGTCTGTGGCCCGTGATCTGAACGAACTACAGTAGACTTCATTGGAACCGCGTCGAAAGGAAGCCAGATTCACCATGAGCTGTCAATGGCAAGATCAACCCAAGAAAAGAATAACTAGAAAGTACTATCCCAAAAAATTCACACATTTAACCCGTGCGAGCAATACTACAAATCCAATTTTTATGCAAGAACTATACCTGAGTGGAACTTTGTCAAGATACTCTTTTCCCTCTTTTGTCGACTTTCCCTGCTGGTAATGGAATCGATCTTACCATGCAGCAGTGCGACGCGCACGCGCGTGTGTGAAAACATCCTCGCGCGCTTGCATCTTGTTAGTTAACAATTACTAGGCATTGTGACGTCAATAGCGTGTTGCTTATTACTCGTGCGCAGAGTTTATTCTTCGCAGTTTACGGAGCTCTGCTAACATGAATATCATGGATATCGAGAAAACTACAGCAGAAAGAGAATTCCTGCAATATTTGCATGGGTACCCTGGGGAACCGGAGTGGCTGACCGCATTGCTTTACGGGAAGAAAAGTCACCTAGAACCGGACATRGCAGAAATGGAACAGGTTCGTAAACACAGATGGGTTGAAATGCAAAATAAAGTCGGAAATTTTACCCTTTGCTAGCGAAGTAACCAAGAATGACAGCGAGGACCAGGGTATCATAAACGGTTAAGGTAACATTGCATATAAAGAATAAGTCTCTTAATTAAGTGAACTCAGTTGATCACAAGCGGCACGCTATGTTTGATAACGTGCAGCAAAGTTTGAAGGCTGAAGTAGTTCGGTGTAATGACGTGGGATACTTACAACTATGAATTATTTCCTCATTTTTGCCATTCAGTCGCTAACCACAATCGACGATCCGTTGCTTTTTACTACTTTTCACCTTTGTGAAAAGTTGGTTGTGCGCATTGACAAGCAGCGAAATCTACAATGATCTACAATCATGGTCGGAATAAAATGGGAAATATAACCAGCCCTCTAGGTCTACTCTGCAGGAATCAGTGATGAACTCCCGTTAAACCAAAACGTGCTATTCTTGCGATCATTTAAATGAAAAATTAACGCCATTTCTCTGGATGGTGTTAATTTCTCATTTAAATTAACCAAGGCTTTTTTCTTTTTACAAAAAGAATAAAAAAAGAACATTTGTTTCTCGGTTGTAGCTTTTTGCACACAACGCTAGTTTGGATTCTTGCGTTTAAAGAAACCTGAAAGAAATATCCGCTTGCACTTTGTAGACTGACTTTAATTAGAATCTTCATGTTTTCCTTTTGGCGTTGTAACATTTTCACGTAACTTATATTACGTCGACTTTGTTGTTTCCGTAGATGCTAGTAAGTCTTCGCATCCATGTACGTGTTCTTTACGCAAAACAAAAAAGCCTGGCAAAGAAGATCGAGAATTCTGAACAAATAGCCGAGCAAAGAAATGAACATTTGTCAGTCAAAGACAAAGAAATTCGGCAAATGGTGGCGCAGATAAGTGATCTGAAACGACAACTTGAACTGGAGCAACTTCGGCTAAATCTAACACTGAAAGACGCCAAACATGCTGCCGAGAAGGAGAAAATTA